AATCAAGATCCCCAAGACCACCTTAGGGTTGTTGGTGCTACCTAGCCAATCGAGGATTTACATGCACAGCCTTATGCAGTAATACTTTCTGTGCCGCCATGTCACGCATAGTGCCCAGTCTTCTCTACGGCTCGGGACTCCTTTCAAGAATTCTTTATAGGCCAAATATGTACTTCACATGGTCTTATCATCACAGGGTTTTGCATTCGTAAACTCCCGTAGGTTACAGAGATAATTAATTAAATTAATTACTACCAGCTATAATCGAACCATTGGACTCTAACCCAGGCTTATTTTTTAAATATTTCTATTATTGTAATGAAAAAATTAAAAAGTTGATTCCGGCTAGAAATTAGGAAACAATTATATAATGCGGGCCAAAATTTTGGAGATCCTCGGCCGTTAGCCAATCAAAATTGAGGATCTGTCATGCATTTTTTATGCGGCACCTAGGGAAAGTTTATTTTCCACTGTGCCATCAATCTCTGGTTTTATATGACCAAGAATTTACCTCTTATTCCTGCTGTTGCAATGATCATAATAGTGGGTATAATTAAAATAAGCTATTTTTATATTTATATTTAATTAGTCTGTAAGTATAGTCTAAAATATGTTAAAAAAAATTTTGCTGCTTAAGTTATTTTATCTTGGTAAGATTATCCATTCCTCACTCAAAGAACTTTCATACTTCCACCTTTTGTGATAACATGAATATAGATTTCTTCATTAGATTTTTAGATAGGGTAAGTTAAAATTAATTGCATATTCACTTTATTAATACATATATTTATATTTATATTTATAAATTTAAAGATCTCACACAATCAGAAAGTAATACCCTTAAAGTATATAGATCAACTCAGGAAAGCAGTATATATTCGTTTATGATTTTAAAAGAGATAAATATTTTGGAAAGTGTGCAAATTGCAACTAATATAACACATCAAAAGCTTGGTATCACTTAGAAAACTGCACAAGAATGGACAAGTGGAAATAAAGATGTCAATAATTGCATTAAAGAATTACAACTTAAAGCACACAATATGAAGATGTGATTAAGTGGATTCCTTTTAATAGATTAGGTAATGTTCAAAAGATTGGTGATAGACTTAGCAAACTGGTTAAATGGAATATGATATGTATATGAATATAAATATGAAGATAAATATATATAATCACATATGCTACTATCTAAAGTAGGACTCAGCACTGGTTAATTGAACAGTTAATTAAACAGTTATTTTCTTGCCAGTTTCTAGTAAATAGTAAGTAATAATTTTGTCCTCCTCATGGTTGACTGCATTTAATAAAATCCAGTAACTATCTTCCGAGGAATCTTTGGCCCCATAATTTTTTAATTTTTCAATGTATGCACTTATTCTTAATTTGTAAAGTGAAGATGTGTAAAATTGCATTTTTGATGAAAATTTACCAAATTACGCATCTTTACTTTATAAATTAAGAAAAGTAAAAAAAAAAATATATATACCATTATAATGTATTTTTTGGTGCTGAACAAGTTTACTTAGAACTTAAAATTATATTTTATTAGTAAAAATTTAGTTTATGATAAATTTTCTATATTTTTATTAATAAAAATATAGAAAATCTATCATAAACTAAATTTTTACTAATAAAATATAATTTTAAGTTCTAAGAAAATATATTATTATGGCATATGTTTTCTTTACTTTTCTTAATTTATAAAGTAAAGATGCATAAATTTGGTAAATTTTTATCAAAAAGCAATTTAACACATTTTTATTTACAAATTAAGAAAAATAATGCAAATGTATGCTGTAATAATGTGGTTTCTGGTGCTGAACAAGTTTACTTAAAACTCAAAGTTATATTATATTAGTAAAAATTTAGTTTATGATAGATTTTCTAGAAAATCTATCATAAACTAAATTTTTACTAATAATATAAGTCTTTACGTTCTAAGTAAATTTGTTCAGCACCAAAATATACATTATTTAACAAACTCATATGATCATGGCGCAGCAACTGACTGTTATTTTTTAACGGTTTATAATATATTGCCGAATATTTGGCAAAAACACAATATTTACTATATATGCAAACAATTAAATTGAATTTACAATGCAAATACGAATTTTCAATACAAATGCATTTTTTCATTTTTAAATTCTAAAAATTGAAAGTGCAATTGTTAAAAGTATTTCCCGTAAGAAAATTTTCGAAAAAATCTTTATTTTTTAAATTTTCTCTAACACCCTTATTCTCCTTTTTTTGCCCATCCTTTTCAGAAACGTTTCCATCAAGCTTGGCCAGTACATTACTCGATTCATCAGGAAATACTTCAAGATCATCAAATATATTTATCAACGAAATCTGAGAATCGGTTCATTGAATATACGAACTTGCAAGTGCAAAATCACTGAATAATGGTGCCACCTTAGGATGATGACCTTTAGAATTATCATGGTCACCGGGAGCTTCTTCTTTATCGTAGTCACCAGGGGCTTTATTGTCGTCAGGATCACTGGGGGCTTTAAGTAAAGTATTAGTCAAATATTCGAAATTACAAAAATAAAAACTAATATGTTTTACCTTTTGAAAGCATTAAAAAATCCGTTGAGACCCTCATGCTGCATTACCAATTTTGAATATTCATACGTGGCAAGACCTTTTTGAGACTTGTGCCTCGTAATTGACATCACAACCGAATCGGAATACCCAAGCTCCTTCAACAATTGGACAGCGGTTTTTCTTCTGGAGTGGTTTGAAATAATACAAGTTCCAATTTGAATACCTGTAATTTTGCAAATGCCTTTAAAAAATTCTCGCAACTTTCACTCACCAAGAGCGCGTGCATAATACCATTGCCCACTGAATTTAGCTAATGTATTAAAAAAAAGTTGGTAAACAAATATTCAAATCTATAAAATCATAAACATATATAAAAAATTATTTACTTAAATTCGAAGTCATCGGCTTTAGATAAAAATTTATCATGGTTATCGTAGAACATTTGGTAAAGAAGAATTCATAGTCATCAATGATGCTTTTAATATTGGGCAAGCTGATAACCTCAGCCTGTGCATCGTAATTGTTAAGTCCTCATTGATTGGTTTTAGACCTATACAATTTAACATCAATTCCACCGTCAAACCTTTTAATGAAATTGTTAATTTGCAAGG